TTTGAATTGTACAACCCAGTGGTTTTTAGTATAGTCACAGGTTGTGCAACTATCAATACTATCCTATCCCAGAATATTGCCATTATCCCCCAAAGAAATCCTATACCCATTAGCAGTCACTCTCCATTTTCCCTGCCCCTGGCCATCAGTAATCTATTTTCTGCTTCTGTGGATTTGCCTATCCTGGACATTTCATATAAACTGGATCATATAATATGTGGCCTTTTGTGTCTGGCTTCTTTCACTTAATATAATGTTTTCAAGGTTCATTTATGTGGTAGCATGAATCAGTGCTTCATTCCTTTTTATTCCAAATAATATTCCATTGTGTGATGGATCCTGTTTTGTGTTTCCATTCATCATCTGATGGACATTTGGGTTGTTTGCACTCTGGCTCTTGTGAATAATGCAGCCATGAACGTCCGTGTATGAGTTTTTGTGTGGGTGTATGCTTTTTTTTTTTTTAGATTTTATTTATTTATTTGACACAGAGAAAGAGAGTGAGAGAGGGAACACAACAGGGGGAGTGGGAGAGGGAGAAGCAGGCTTCCCGTCGAGCAGGGAGCCCGATGCGGGGCTCGATCCCAGGACCCTGGGGTCATGACCTGAGCCGAAGGCAGACGCTTAACAACTGAGCCACCCAGGCGCCCCTGGATGTATGTTTTTAATTCTCTTGAGTAAATATCCAGGAGTGGGACTGCTGCGTACCTCTGTGTATAAGCTTTTAAGGAACCGCCAGACATTCCCAGACTCTTCATGGGCAGCTCTGCCTTAACAGAATTTCAGCATCACTGCGAAGCACCTCTTCCCCAAAATATTCTCCTGGTTTTTGCCATGGAAGAAATTACTTTAATGGAGCTTAGAATTATTCCCTTTATAGTAAGCGTTAAGGTTCAAAATGCAATACTGTTGAGCAAGGGAACAGAGTGACTCAAATTCACACCAAGAGGTAAGTCAGATCTTTTCTCAGAGCAGTTTTGATGAGAGGAAAAAAGAAAACGTGTCAGACGCTGGGGATCTGCAAGGGGGAAGAAGGAGGCCACAGAGCCTGAATCTGGGGTAGGCTGTGCACTTTTAAAAAAGGACAGGCCAGGGCGCCTGGGTGGCTCAGATGGTTAAGCGTCTGCCTTCACCTCAGGTCATGATCCCAGCTTCCTGGGATCGAGTCCCGCATCGGGCTCCCTGCTCAGCAAGGAGCCTGCTTCTCCCTCTGCCTCTCTCTCTCTGTCTCTTCTGAATAAATAAATAAAATCTTAAAAAAAAAAAAAAAGGACAGGCCAGCTTTTCCTCTCAAGTACCATAGTGAATACCAGGCTCTTATTTTGCGAATTCATTTATTTCAAATAGCACCTACTGAGCACTGACTTCATGAGAGAACATTCACCTGGACATTTTAGGAGGAATAAGACACATTCCCTGAAGAGTTAAAGATTACGTGGGTTGGACAAGTCTCAGGGCTTTCCTCTGAGATCACGTCACTTCATTGGTTGGATGCTGACATGTCTTTTCTTTTCTTGGAGGGATGGCTGATGACTGGTGGAGGCAGCTTCTATTTCTTTAACATCTAATTTGGCAACATAAAATTTGGTAGCCCTATGTTGGTCTAACAAATTACTGCAATATTCCTTGTTTTTTAAAATCCCTCATCCCCACCTCAAAATCAGAGTTTAGAGGAAAAACAACGGGTATTAAGAGACAAAGGCTATTGATCCAACTAGATTCCCACGTGTATTAAGATGGATAAAGAAAGCAATGTTGTAGCAGTTAGGATTAACCTAGATAGTGAGGTCTAGGAAGAGAATTGCTTTCTGAGATTCTGCCAGGCCCAGAGTTAAGAAAGCCACAGCTGAAACTTCAGTGCCTCGTTCCTGGCGAGTCTGGGAGGGAGTCTTGACCTCACGAGCAAGGCAGCATGTGCCCATGGCCCTCAGTAATCTAAAAGGATGGGACCAAAGGAATGTCAGATCTTGGCTCTGTGCCACCTATTTCTGTGAAACTCTGGTCTTACGTGCCTTAGTTTACCTCTCTGGACCTCAGCTTCCACACTGGTAACATAACAGCAAGAGCCGATCTGGGGCTCACGAGCACTATTTTGAGGACTTTGGAGATATACATATTTAATTCTATGAGAACCGTATGAGAATGGGACCCATAATTGTCCCCATGAGTTTGCCCAGACTCTCACACGACTGTCAGTAGCAGAGCAGAGATCTGAATCCTAACTGCCTATTGTCAAGGCTCATACCACTTCTTCCTTTTAAAAAATTTATATTTGCATATTCTATGTTAAAATAAGTCATTCATTCTATTACTGGAGTGGTGTGAGAATAATTTGATACTGAGTAGCACTGTGGCGCTCCCTCACAACTCTGCTCAAGAAATACTGGAAAAGGACGAGAAAGCACATATTCCCATCAACTTGAAATGCCAATGTAAGTGAATTTAATATTATTATGAGCTGTGCTTGAAATTCCCATTGCTAGCATTAACTTAGGATATTCTTTCCATCTCTACAACACCGCTGTGGCTTTAATTTTTTAAATGATTTTATTTATTTATTTGACAGAGAGAGACACAGCGAGAGAGGGAACACAAGCAGGGGGAGTGGGAGAGGGAGAAGCAGGCTTCCCGCGGAGCAGGGATCCCGATGCGGGGCTCGATCCCAGGACCCTGGGATCATGACCTGAGCCTAAGGCAGACGCTTAACGACTGAGCCACCCAGGTGCCCCACCCCCCCGTGGCTTTTAAACAACTGAGATGACATGTTCGAGAAAGAGCTAGTGAGAGCCAGAAGGAAAGATAAGGGCCCTTCGGGGAGTGGTGTGCCTCCTGAGACCCTCCCAGGGTGCATCTGAGCTCCACTGGGAACCTCGCCCCACTCCACCTCCAAACCTAACCCAGCCTGGCTCTCGTAGAAGCAAATGTACATACCAAATGACCTGAGAGTAACCAGAGCAGTGCATCCACAAACGTCAACTAAATTGGCACGCCAATTTAAAAAGGGAATATTGATTTAAGGTAAGTCTTAAAGGACCGGTTAAGCATGGCAGGAGACAAGAAATTTTAAATACTTTTCTAATTCACAGAAATGTTTAATTAGTAAATAGTTTCTTCAGCATGTACAGTGGAGGGCCATTAATGCTTCTGGTGCTCATTTCAGCATGTATGCAGCAGGTGGGTGCTGCATCGCCATTTCACTACCCCTGTCGCACCAAGAGCGCTTGCTAGACACACCTGCCGTTCATCAAATGCTCATGGACTGGGGGGAGGATGAGCCAGTTCTCGGTCATCATAAGAAGGAGGTTAAGCGAATCTTAACATCATCACTCCTCCCGCATCTCAGCCCGAGATCCTCCCCTCTCCTCTGAAGGACTCCCTCTCCGCCTACTTCTCTGATATGGGTTTAGGCTCCTCCTCCTGAAACCAACCTCTGGGGATTGAATTTCCTTGTCCAGCACCCTGTCCTCTATATATTCTGCCAGTCTCGATTCTGAGCTCCAGGATTTACAACCAGCTGTCTGCTTCATCTCTCGCCTTGGGAATCGCCTAAGGTATCTCCAACCTAACTTCTCCAAACCGGGGCTTGATATCATCCCCCGTCCTCCCATACACAACATCTTCCGGGTTCCTCCGTCTCAATAAATGGCACCGTGACCTTCCCTGTTGTCCTCCTTGATCCCCACTTTCTTCCGCCCCCGGCATTCTGATTCACCACCTCTTTCTGCCCCTTTGGGTCCCAGGGCTCACCTCCATGGTGGCATCTGACCCGAGCCATCCCGCTCGGGTCCTTGTTCCCTTCTTCTAATACTCCACATAGCAGCCAGAGTGACCCCAACAATCTCACTCATGGAACTGATGGTCACTCACTGCATTTGGAAGAAATCCAAGGTCCTTGGCAGGACCTTTGGCAATCGGGAGGGTCTGGCCTCACTGACCTCTCTCATGTGTTTGAGAGTTGGCCACTCTTCCCTTACCCATTTGTCCCCAGGCTGGCTTCCTGTCACTGCCTGGGACACGCCCAGCACCCTGTCCTCGGGCCCTTGCCATTGGCTTCTCTCGGTGCCTGTCACGAGGTGATGGTGCCTGAACTCTGGATGAGGAGGGGCTGGGGAGGCCACACAGCTACCCTGTCCTTGAAATCAGTATTCATAGTGTAGCTCCACTAGAGGGTTCCAACTACTGTGAATTCCCAGATAGTATGCTTATGGAATCTCTTCCACAGGTATGAATTTTTAGAGTTTACAGACTTAAAATGTAAAAGCGCTCATTTCTTGCTGTCCCAAGTGTTATATAAAACAACTTTAAATACAGTTTTTGTTATCAAAATAACAAACATATCTAGAAATTCTTGATTAACATTCTTCTTGGGCCCACTATTGTCTAATGGTTGTTGAATGGATCTAAAATAGCAAAAGAAAATAGGAAAATGAGCATTTCAGGGAAAAATAATGAGCCAGCCTAGGCACCAGAGTCCTTTCCTTATTTCATATTTCTCATTGCATTTTTTCATCAAGGCTTTACTTATTCTATTAATTACCATCCACTTTCAAGGTTCTAGTCTACTTCCAACATGTATAGGATGATCGCTTATTACTTTAACTAAGAGCTTGGGTTCGATTGCAGATGTGGATATTATTTTAAAATTTAATTTGGGGGCCCTGTTCCAAAGTGAAAATATGATAACGAATATCTAAGTACATTCTAATTTACAGATATGCCTGTAATTTTATAGAAAGCAAAAAGATGAACAGAACTGAAAACAAGGGTCTGGGTAAAATGAATACACCTGCTTCTGGTTCTTCCTTGAAACACTGATTCCCGTTGGAGTTTCAGTTTTCCATCTACCAAACTCGTGCCCTTTTAAAAGTTGATTTCTGTAGTAAGATGTTAATGCTTTCTTCCTTGCACTCAAGAGACTTCAGTGACCCTGGGAGGGCAGCATAACTGAGGGCTAAAGGGTAGCTTCAGAGAGGCCTGGCCATGCTCAGACGCTGACTTACTATTGTGCGCAGTCAATCAGCTGGTACTCGTTGGACCTCTCAAAGCACGCCTTCACGCCTTCATCATCCCAGAGCTTCTTCACATGATCGAAGAATTCCTAATATTTGAAAAAGTTCGAAATAAGAAAGCACAAGTGTTATAATCTTTTTAAAAAGTTAAAAGTAAAAAGAAACTGCCAAAAAATTTTTGCAGGTAGCGCATGAACTGTTTTCCTTGTAGGAGTCGACTTCACACACAGGAAAACGCGTAGGACTTGAGAGCGGCCTGATGAGAAATGGATGCACCTGTGTTATCGTTGCTCGATTCAACCTGTCAAACGTTCTTGTCCTTCCAGAAAGTTCCCCCAAATGAAAATTATGAGTCAAAAGTAATTTTGTGGCACTCATCAACTATATATACAACAGCTACTGTAACAAAAATTTTAAAGTTCTTCGTACTCCGTCACCTGCCTAGTGGTACTTGTCACTTCAGCAGTGAAAAGTGTGCCTATTCCAATGGTAAGTTCTGTTTTAGCTGTTGTCTTTGAAACTTTCCGTAAGCCTTGATTATGAATAGCCATGATTGAGCAGATAGGTTAAATTCGGCCCAGAAGCATTAGGTACATCAGAAGTAAACCTTGAAAATTTCACTCTTTGGGGATACTAATTCGCTGTTTTCTGGCATTTTTTAACACTATGAGTTACATGTGAACTGTGATTTTTGGTTCCCTCAAGCCCATGTGGGTGCAGAGCTTAATTTCATCCATTATGGCAAGCAGCACCCTCTGAAACAAGAACTCTCCTTCTCTCAAAGTAAGAGGTGGCTTTATGAATTCATATTTCCAAAATTACCCAAATTAAATTAACAGTGCTGTGGAAGCAAATGACAACACATCAGCTGCTAAATATAAAAGAAGTTACGTAAATTTTCACAAACCTGTTCATTAGAATATTTATATCCCTTCCCACATTAGTCATCTGCCCTTGCGGCAGCCCCAGGAAGCACCCATTCCCATCTCTGATCTGCACCAAAGGGTCTGGGGCTTCTGACACCTCATGTCCATCGATTTTTTGGAGGAAAAAAAAAAAGGGCTGATTCTTTTATTGAAGATTCACAAGTCCATACAAAGGTGGACCTGAGTACTGAGGGGGCCCTCTTTGAAAAAAATCACGAGTACACAATTAGGTACAAAACCTTAGAAAGGGCAGGAGGGGTGAGGGGCCATGAGGTTCAGATGTCCTAGGATCAGGGACAATCTCTAAAGGTCTGCCGTGTCTCTATACCTATTGTCTGTCCGGCTGCTCACTGTCGTCAACAAATCCAAACTCCCCACAGGTGACGACGAAGGGGAAATCTCCGTATGAAGGAGAGGAGCTGACCCTCTCAGTTTTTGTCTCCCTAGATTTACGGCTCCTTCTGGAATCTCCCACTACTGTTCTTGTCACTCCAGTGAGGGAGTTTTTATAGGCTTCCTTAAAAACTTTTTTCCTCTAAGAGCCATATGAAGACACACACACACACACACACACCCCAAATGAAAAACACGGTTTTCTATTGTCGAGATGGTCTTGAAAGACAATGTTAACTTCTGTGTCATGATGATATTTGGAATCGAGCCCCATCTCTCTCCTCTCCTGCAAACCCCTAGTGTAGTAGTTTCTTGAATAAAGTTCCTTACTGTCTTTATCAGGTGTCTGAATCATTTTTTTCTTCAGCAGGATGAGCTGAAGCCTCTGAGACAGAATTATAGAGGAGTGCTTGAATCAAGAACCAAGATGCACGATTTCTGGGGTCCGTGTTGATAGCAGTAGTAAAACAGGAATTGTGGGCACTGTGTTTTTAAAGCAGATGCTTTGGATGACACCAAAGGAACATAAAAGCAGCAACAATCTCTGCTTCGGCTTCGTGGTTGGTGAACAAAGACATTGGACTGGAATATAGCTAGGTCTCCAGGATTCTGCATGTTTACTTTTTAAGGAGTTCTAAAAACCTCATGGAAAATTTCAGAGCTGCTACTGCCGTTGCTTCTGCCTTTTATTAGAGAAAATTTCAAACTTACGAAAGTAGAATTCCCCAGGCCATTCATTACTCAGCCTCTGTGTTTACCAACACATGGCCAATTCTCTCTCTCTTTTTTAATAACTCATGCCTTTCCCCACATTTGTTATTTTGCAGCTAATCTCTTATGCCATATAATTGTATTTCAACTTTCTTTCTGAAAGATAAAGCCTCTTAAAAGTCATAGCCAAAACACCACTATCTCAACTAAAAATATAACAACAAATAAGTCAGCCAATGCAGCCTCTCTAGCCATGCTTAACCGGTTGTCCAGAGCCAGGCTAGAATTCTCATGCATTTGTGAAACCAACTGGGAAATAAATATGAGGAGTAATTTTGGTATGCCTCCATTAGCAGCTAAGATGAATAATATAAAATAAAACTAATTTCAGTGTTGTGTGTGTGTGTGTGTGTGTGTGTGTGATTGGAAATAAAAAAAGATGATTCAGAGAAATGTAACCTGCTTTTGACAACTGAGACTATGTAGAAATTGAGAGTATGAAAAGAAAATCACTGACATTTCTTAATTTTTTTGGTATTACTGAATGAGAATCGCCTTGTGATCTTCATGTATTTAGGAACTGAAATATGCGAACCTTTGTTACTCTTATTTAAAGGGCCTTGACACGCTGTGAATTGTGTAAGACTGATGAATCATAGACCTGTACCCCGAAACAAATAATACGTTATATGTTAATAAAAAAATAAAAAATTAAAAAAATAAAGGGCTTTGACATAGCATAACCTATAAGCTTCCCGTGTCACTGAGTTGTACAGCTGAAACTAATGTCACATTGTGTATCAGTTCTACTCAAATTAAAAAAAAATTAAAAAAAAACAAGGAAGTTTGAGTTGTGTTACAGAAAGGAAAAATGATAATGGTACCAAATTTAAACTTACTTTTAAAAAAGGCAAGGCTTTAACATTTTCACAGCATCATGCTGATTTTTCAATCAAAATTTAAATTAAAATAAAAAAATTTTAATTTTTTAATCCATTTCATGTTACAGCATTTTCCTTCTGGTACTGCAGTCTACATCTCCCTTTCCACATGAAGTACAAAGCTAATCCGGGATTCTCAGATGAGTAACAAGTTTTTTCTTTTTCTTTTAAATTCCTCATAACTGCCCTGAAGTGGAAATCATATGATAGTAGGAAATGTTAAGAATGCAAATTCTTGCATGAGATCCCTGCTGATAGAACTTTTTGGTTACACTAACAGCCGGGATCTATTTTTCATTTTTGAAATAAGAACCCAAAGCGTATTTCTTGTCTCTGGAAGGGAATGCTGTGAGGTGGTTTGGAGTCAACGCTCTGGCTACGCCCGCAGGTCTTGGGAAGAACTGCTTTCACATGCGATGCAGGTGGAAATCATCTCTAAGTTGAGTGTAAAAACATTCTTCCTCATGCTCATTGCCCGATATTCCTTCTAAGGTGACTTATGGAAAATATCTCGAATTTTAGTATCAGGAATACTTTTTTTTTTGCATTTCTGAAGCAAATGCTTTTTATATTTTATTGTTAATGTTTAATCTTCAGAGCCCTGTGGCTCTTCTATGTTTTTATTTATGTCACTGAGTTGACTGCAGGAAAGCTTAGAAGTCCCGTTTTGGGGTCAGTCCTCATGTGTGTGTAGGGCTTGGCCTTACACTCTGGATGCTAACTTCACTTCTGGTCCCACATAACTTATCTCCTGATCCTAATTCTGTTCTCCTGCATTTTCAGTTATTTCATTACCTTGTATTATAACTTTGTGAGCAGCACTAAATCCTTCTTGGAACAAGCCGAAGTATAAATAAATGTTTGATGGAACTTTTTATGAGAACATAGTGGATAACGTCCACCACCACAATCAAACAGACCTTAGAAACAGGCAGTTTCAGGTCAGAAGCCATTTATTTACATGGAATTTTCTAAAGCTCAAGTTTAGGTCTGATTCATTTAAAATACACGCACTCAATCTTATCCCTCAGATAACAGAACAATCGAACAGGATTTGTCATTTGTTTTTTCAAATTATCTGGTGGGTATCAAGTCTGTGTGGGATCTATCATGCCTGCTGACACTGTGATTTTGTTATTCATAATCTCTGTCCATCCTCAAATCTAATTTAATACAGTATGTCTAAAGTTCTATTTAGAAACAACTTTCAGAAACTATGTTAAAAAAAAACCCAAACATTAAAGTCATTAGCAGTCCCCTTGCCCATGTCTTTCCTCTGACCACCCGGTGCAACAATCTTAGCAAGTAACTCATATAAAAAGAGGTCACGCCTACCATTTACTGAGCACCTCGTATGTTCCAGGCAATGTTCTAAGGGCCTTATGTACAAGGTCCCATCTGAGACAACCCTGCCTTGTAGGCGATTCAATTTCCATTTGACAGATGACAAAGCAAGTATGATTAAGGATGCTTTATCCTTGCTCAAGCTCTCCTGGAAGGAAGTGATCAACCTGGCTTCACAAGCATGCTCTGAGGCCAGCTACCTTCCTCCTCCTCCCTCCTCCTGCTCCCTGAGCCCGGGAGACCAGGGAGGACAAAGGCAAATTTATAATATACCCCACACCTGTCTACTTTTTTTTCCTTTAGGACAGCCTACTTTATTCTTAGAATCATTTTTAACAGATTTGAGGTATACTGTATATACCATAAAATTCACCTATTTCTTCATACAATCAGGCCACCACCGACATAAGCAAGTTTTACAACACCTCATCATCTCTTACCCAATTCTCTGGAGCCAAGCCCGGCCCCCAGCCCTGGTCTCAGACACAGTTAATCTTACTTCTCTCCCTACAGTTTTGCCTTTTCCAAGAAACTTCATATAAATGAAATCACCTTGTCTTTTGTGTCTGTCTTCTTTGATTTAGCATGGAATTTTTGTCATCCATTTTGTTATGTAAATGAGCAGTTTGTTGTTAAAAAATTGCTGAGTTCTACTCTGCTGTGTGAATATACCCTGTTTTGTTTATTCATTCAGCAGTGGATGGACATTTGAGTTATTTTCAGTTCTTGACTGTCATGAATAGTGCTGTTCGGAATATCTGTGTACCAGACTGC